TATTTATTGTTGAACAGCCTTGAGCTGAAAGGGAGAACACATTTCTTAGAGCAGATAACAGGAAGCACAAGGGGTTTTTATAATTTTCCACAATTAAGGCACAAAACTCTATTAACCCTTTACACCCCTTTTGGAGATATTGAGTGTCCAAACTATAGCATATATAAAACTCAAAATAGCCATAGATACAAATGCAAAATTCCAAAGTATAACATTTCTGGGAGAAACCATAAAACAGATCTTTCTTTTTCCTCTTAGATTAGGTAAAGATCTCTTATGTATGGCCAAACACATTATCAACAAAATTTAAACATGGATACATTTTATTTGCATTAAGTCTGCTTTCTTTCTGTTGCTCCAACAACATCTGGAGCTGAATATTATATAAAGAAAAGAGGTTCATTTAGCTCACAGTTTTGGAAGCAGAACATTTAAGGTCAGATGGTTCAGTTGATTTGGTCTCTTATGGGAGCTTCATGGTATATGGAGACGATATGATATTGGCAAGACAGAAAGCCAGAGAGATTCAACAGCTAGGTGGAGGGGGCTGGGGAGATAGCTCTGTGGAATAAGTGCTTACCTGGCAAGTGCAAGGTCCTGAGTTCGATCCCTGGTACCAAAAAATAAAAAAGAATGGACCCCTTGGAGGGCATGAGAAACAGTGCTTAACAGCTAGATTGGTATAATGCCAGCCTGTGAGGAATCTTCCAGAGTCTGAAGCTATGGGGAAGATCAGATTTGATTCCTCTACCTATAGGCGGGCTGACATCAGAATGAATATCAGCAAATATCTAAAAGGGGGACTGAGTATGTATAGGTTTTAAGGTTGGGGGTATGATTTTAAGGAATTTCAAAAAATACGGATAAAATGTTTGAGCTTAAAGTTGTGGGAACTGTCAGCACAGGTTGGTACACACAGCTGGCATCAGAGCACTGCAGGGTGACCTTGGCCCTGTGTTCAACTTTTTATTGCCCTTGCATTTTGTTTACCAGGGGCAAGCTATTGCCAGCAATGGAAAGTCCAGTGTTTGCAGTGGATAGCTCCACATCTCTTTCAGGTCACTCTCAGGCCAATCCTGATTGAAGTCTATTTGTTTATTCATTTGTTTTTTTGAGACATGGTCTACTATATAATCCAGGCTGGCCTAAAACTCAAAGTGATCCTCCTGCCTCAGCCTACTAAGTGCTGGGATTACAAGTGCACCACCAGGCCCAGCTCAAGGTTGCAATTTTTTTAAAAAACAATCTTCTCGGGCTGGTGAGATAGCTCAGTGGTCTAAAGCACCTACTTAGAACAAGCTAAGCAAAGCAAAGCACAGGGACCGAGGTTCAATCCCCCAGCACCACATACCAGCCAGCCCCGCCCCCTGGTGGGCTGAGCTGGCCACACACACACAAAATAAACAAACAAACAAATAAATAAATATTTTTTAAAAAATCTTCTTATGCAAAAACTAACTGGAAGGGCTGGTGAGATAGGTCAGCTGACTAAATACCTGCTTAGGTAAGCACAGGGACTGAGGTTGGATCCCCAGGACCACATGCCACGCTGGCCCCACCCCTGGTCACGCTGAGTCAACCACGGAGACCAAGCATGGTGGTGCACACTTGTAATCACAGCACTAGGGAGGCTAAAAACAGGAAAATCTCTATGAGTCTGAGCTGCCTAGTGAGACCCTGTACCAAATACATTAAAAAAAAAAAAAACAAAAAAACTAACTGGAACTACACTAATTCCTTCCAAGAGCACCAACAATCCCAGTGAGCTAATCTTCAATCAGCCTCTGTTCTTATGGGTCCTACCACTTCCCAACATGCCAAGGATGTATCTTCTATCATGTGAACCCTTGGGATACACATTTACCCCATATCCATAGCATTAATCAGTTTCAAAGTTTCTGTACTGAAAAAAAGTCTGTTAAGAAAATGAAAATACAAGCTGTAGATTGGGAGAAGTGTTTGCAAAACTCATATTTGAAAAAGGATCCCTATCCAGAATGCATGAAAAAGTCTCAAAACTGCAGAAGAAAATAAAGAATCCAGTTTAAAGTGGGCAAAACATATGACCTGACACATTGGCAAAGAGGACATATTGATGGCAGATAAACACATGAAAAGATGCTCAGCATCATTAATTGTTAGAGAAATGATTTAGAACAATGATTGCAAAACACTACAAGCGGGGGGGGGGGATGGCTCAGTGGAATAAGCGCTTCCCTGGCAAGCGCAAGGGCCTGAGTTCAATCCCCGGTTCCGCAAAAAAGAAAAAAAAAAAACACTACAAGCCTGTCCAAGTGGCTAGAAAGAAATGATGATAGTTAAGTACAGATGAGGCACAGAGAGCAACTGGAATTCTTACACACTGCTAGTAGAAAGTAAAAGGGGCCTGGGAGATGGCTCAGTAGGATAAGCGTGTGACTGGGAAACGCAAGGATCTGAGTTCAATCCCCGGAACTGCCAAAAAAAAAGAAAGTAAAGTGGTAAGATCACTTTGACATCACCTCAGAAAGTCACACACATATCCACACCCACACACATCCTGAATTTAAACATGCCTTTAGCATCCTTCTCCTAGGCATTTGTCTAAGATAGCAGGAAGTTATGTTTACAAAACTTGCATGGAATAAGTTGAGGCAGCTTTCTGGACAACTTGCCGTGAGACTTTCAGTTAAGGTGTCATGACTTAGTAACAAAAAGCACAAAATCATGGACACCCCAGAGCCATGAACAATTCTCAAACCTGTGAGTTGGAGGAAGTGGGACTCCCAAATCCTGCACGCTCTGTGAATACAATTCCATTTCCACAACACTGAAAAGGAGAAAAATTGTAATAGAAAGCAGACAAATGGTGCCTGGGGCAAGAGGTGGCAGAGGGGCTGGCCTCAAGGGTGCAAGGGAACTTACTATGGTGATGGATCTTGACTACAGTGATGGTTTTTGGGGGCCAGGGAGATGACTCAGTGGAATAAGTGCTTCCCTGGCAAGCACAAGGGCCTGAGTTCAATCCTCAATTCCGCCAAAAAAAAAAAAGTGCAGTGATGGTTTTTTCAATTTCATAAACCCCCTGGAATGAAAAAGACTAAATTTTTCTAAATGCAAATCATAGGTCATTTTTAAAAACATGCCATAGGGCTAGGGATATAGCTTAGCAGCATGAGTGCCTGCCTGGCAAGGGCAAGGTCCTGAATTCTATCCCTGGTACTGCAAACAGAGAAGCACTTATTGTACTGAGCTACTTTCTTCTTTTCTTTTCTTTTTCTTTCTTTTCTTTTTGGCAGAACTGGGGACTGAACTCAGACCCTTGCACTTGTCAGGGAAGCACTTATTCTACTGAGCCATCTCTCCAGTCCCTGGTACTGCAAACAAACAAACAAAAAACATGTCGAATGAGATGCCACAGTATTGACTATATGATTGCATTTATGTGAAATTCAGGGAGCAGCATAAAAACAGGTACAGCAAGCCTGGATAATGTAGCCATCCCTACATTAGTGAATGTAGTGAAACCCTGCCTCAAAATAAAAAATAAAAAAAGATCAGGGTGTAGCTCAGAATTGAACCTGGGTTCAATTCCCAGTACCACACACAAAATTTTCTTCAATAAATTTACCATAACTTTTTTTATAGATGGATAAAGACTCACAAATAACTAAAGAAAGAAAAAAAGATTGGAAAGAAAGAGAGAAATAAAAGAAAAGCCTGGAGGGTGTGTTTTCTCCTCCCAGAGTTATAAAACCAGAGTAATAAAAGGTGGTGACATTGGCACTAGAAGAGAGAAGTGGGCAATGGCTGCTAGAGAACTGAGCTCAGAAGGCAGAGCCAGGTACAGATGGGAGTGTAACACCCGTCCAATCAGATGGTGGTGTTGGAAAGATATGGAAAAAAATTAAATTGGATTCTTACCTAAAAACACATCTGGAGGGGCCTCTGGATAGAGTCATGCTGTAGAAGTGAAATTAAGGTTGTGTGGGAGGATGCAGAGATCCAGGGCCCAAGGTCATGAGCAGGCAAATTGCAGAAGTGGAAAAACAAATCCAATAAGCACAGGAGATGATCCAAACCCTTAGTAATGAGAAATGGGGCCACAGTAGACAATGTAGTCTGTCACATTGGCTCTGCTATGCAAATTGAGTGTCTGCGTGACACCTGCAGAATGACTGGAGAGTGGGACAGAAAGAATTTGGAAATAAATGCATAGGATTAAGAGGGGTCTCTATCCAGGCCAGGGATGCATTGGACTAGAGAGGGAGGCGCATACTGACACACCTACAGTCTCTCACACCCCTGCTGTCTCTCACACGGGGCAGAAGGGGCCAGGATAGCACTGTGGGGGCAGGGAAGGGACAGACAAGTTTAAGACACATGAAAATATCTCATGGCTCACTGGGCACAGGGACACAAGTGGAGCTGGGAAATGTTTCTGCACACCCCAGTGCAAACAGGGAGCCTGAATTCCTGGGAAATGACCAGAGTGGGAGAGGTAAGAGAGAGGAAGACAGAGACCCTGGCTAACACAGCCCCAGGTTTGGTGGCAGGGAAAGGGGACACCTATTGTTATCCACCTCCTGCTTTAATAGTCCAGACTCAAGCCCCAACTTATACAGAAAAGACTCTTAAAGAGGCAGGACAATGATCCACAGCCAGAGGACAGGTACAGTGGTCTGGCTGCCCCTGGCCCAAAGCAGAAGGTCTCTGTGTTGCCTGCTGAGATTCCCTCACTCTGTGTGTGTGTGTGTGTGTGTGTGTATGTGTGTGACATAAATCCATGGAAGTCTGAATAGTTCTGTATATTTGTACAAGACACTGAGTTTGTGGAAGAGTTATGTGTGTGTAGGGCAGTGTGTGGGAAGTGGGTATTATTTTTCAAAGGGCCACTTTTGATGCCTGCATCCGGGTCCCTGCAAAAGGCGGACTACTACCAGGCTCGGGAGAGTCACCGCAGGGGGAGGTGCCCGCAGGATGATTCAGCATTGGGGCGGAGCGGGGCGGGACCCTTTGTTTTTGGGAGCACTCTATATAAGGCCTCACCGCCGCTAAGCCTCCGCCGAAGCTCTGCCCCCCGCCCAACCCGAGCTACAGTCTGCAGAGTTCAAGCCACCGTCTACGCAGCAGGCAGTGAGTCTGTGCAACAGGGCCTCGGAGGGCTCCTAGTGCGTGGCTCGCACAGTGCCTGGGCTCCTGGGGGACTCACAGCTGCCAGCAAGGGGCAGGCCTCTTGCAGCGTGGGAACAGCGATTAGGAACTCTGGGGCCGAGGTGGGAGGGGGGGGTGCGGGCCCAGACAGGGATGGGCGGATGCACCGCGCCCAGGTTCAGCTCTCTAGATTCTAACAATTTTCTTTTGTTTCCTCTAGTGGCACCCTACACCATTGTGTACTTCCCAGTTCGAGGTAGGAGCCTGTGCCTCCGGGGGAGGGAGGCAAATTTCCTCCCCATCCCTTTGGGGGAGGACCCCAGCCCAGCCTTGTGCCACCTACTTGTGGCTACAATCCGATGCCTCCTTTGCAGTTCCTGGTCACTCGGTCATCAGGAGTCTTTGTTCCCATGTCGCCTCCCCTCACCATGCACCCACCCCTTCGTGTTTTGCCCTGAGTCTGCATCTTGCACAGTCCTCACACCGCTGTCTTGTCCACACCCAGGGCGCTGTGAGGCCATGCGCATGCTTCTGGCAGACCAAGGTCAGAGCTGGAAGGAGGAGGTGGTGAGCTTGGAGACTTGGATGCAGAGCCAGCTCAAAGCTTCCTGTGTGAGTGACAGCACGGAGGGTGGAGGGGATGGGCTTTAGGGGATTGTGACTAGGTTGGGGGCAGCCAGGCTCTCCACCCTTACAGAGCTGAACCCCCCTCCCCTGCAGCTGTATGGGCAGCTCCCCAAGTTCCAGGATGGAGACCTCACTCTGTACCAGTCTAATGCCATCCTGCGCCACCTGGGCCGCACCTTGGGTGAGTATGAGGCCCTGGGCAGTTCAAGTAGTGTGTGAGTATCAGCCATGATCCTCAATACCTGCCCTCGAAGCCTCACCCATTTCAGTCTAGTCCAGAGTAGAAGTAGAGACACACAGGTTACCTGCTCACCCATGGTGCAGGCCCAGTCCTCTGTCTTGTCCTGTGCCAGGCAGTGCCCCAGGAGCTCTGAGTACCTGTTGTGTTAGGCTCCCCCTCCCTTTCCACTCCCCTTCCACTGCTCCCAGGCTGTGGCCCACAGACAGCCACATGCCTGGGGTGGGGGGTGCTAGGTCAGCTGCTAGTCATGCTGTCTGTTCTCCCGGCCCCCAGGGCTCTATGGGAAGGACCAGCGGGAAGCAGCCCTGGTGGATATGGTCAATGACGGCGTGGAGGATCTCCGATGCAAATATCTTACCCTCATCTACACCAACTATGTGAGCTTGTGTGCTTGAGAGGGACACTGGGGGTGAAGGAAGAAAGGGGCTCTTATACCCCCATCCAGGCCCTCACATGGCTCTGGCTGACCCCTTCGCTGATTACGGCATTAGGGCAGGGTTCCAGCAACAGGTGGCTCTCAGTGGCTGCCTGAGGAGGGATCTGTACCAGTTTCTGGAATGAGGTGCTAGTAATTTTAGATGGGCAGTGGGTGCAGGTCTGAGCTCTCCTGGGTCCTATTAGAGGGGCAGAGTGCTTGCATGCACCTCTGTGTGTACAGGTGTGTGGGTGGCTATAGAGATGGGGAGGAGGCTGGGTCCTCAAGGTCTTGAAACTTCTTTTTTTGCTCCGAATGCCTTCAGGGCAGGTTTGGCTGACTCGAGTTGTAGGGATCGAACCACAGCAACCTGAGCCTGACTGCTTTGTTGAAGCAGCCACTTAAAGAGCTGAGCTAAGGGGCAGGCCCCCAAGGTCTTGAAACTTCTGATGTGGACTCTCCCCAGGGCAGTGAGGGCCACTGAGGAGACTGAGCATGGCTGTGTCTGAACATGAGGTCTGGAAGGATTCTCAGAGGAGCCGGCTCTGAGGTTTTTGCAGTAATCTGCTAGGAGGTCCTAGGAAGGATGGAAAGGTAGAATGGGTGAGAAAGACAAGCCACTCACATAGTCAGGGCGTGGTAATAGAGTGTGTGTGTGTGTGGGGGGGTAAACAGGAACATTTGGGGCTCCTAGGGTCTCCAAAGTGGGTAGCAGAATGGGGTGTGTCTCAAGTGGAGCGGGGTGCTCATGCTGGGAGGGCAGGAGGAGAATGCACAGCCTTGGCATCCTTCTTATAGGAGGCGGGTAAGAGTGACTATGTGAAGGCCCTGCCTGGGCATCTGAAACCTTTTGAAACTCTGCTGTCCCAGAACCAGGGGGGCAAGGCTTTCATCGTGGGTGGCCAGGTGAGTCTGCCCCTCCTGCATCCTTCCATGCTGTCCTCATAGATGGAAAGAGATGGGAGTCATTCCCATGGCAAAGTAGGCCAGACCTAGGGGGTGGGATCAGCTTCTCTGGCCCCCACTTCCCTCCCCTCTGCTTAGCCTGTTCCCACTGACTTGATCCCTTGCCCTGCAGATCTCCTTTGCCGACTACAACCTGCTGGACTTGCTGCTGATCCACCAGGTGCTGGCCCCCAGCTGCCTGGATGAATTCCCCCTGCTCTCAGCCTACGTGGCACGCCTCAGTGCCCGGCCCAAGATCAAGGCATTCCTGGCCTCCCCAGACCACGTGAACCGGATCATCAACGGCAATGGCAAACAGTGAAGTCTCATGGGGCCCTTGGAAGAGCCAGGGCTGCTCAACTTCCTTCTCCCAGCACCAATAAATTTTCTAAGATCAAAGCTGGGCTGTGATCACTGTTTCCTAAGGAGGGAACTCTGGGACCCTCACATGATGGGCTGGGGAGAGAGGAGCAGAGGGTGCACCCAGGGACCCAGTGTCTTCCTGGAGCCCTTGGTGAACGTCTGGGTTTCCTAAACTTCACCAATAGGAAAAGAGTGGGGAGAAGGAGAGGAAAGTAGAGGAAAAATCCTTGAGATCACTTTCCTGGAGGAATCTAGTCCAGTGAGGGAGGAAGCCTTTTCTATTTGTACTAGACCAGCTGGAGTCACCCAGCAGCAGAAGCTGAAGGGGCCCTGGGCTGGCAGGTGAAAGGAGTCCTGTCCTATCCCCTCCTGGGACTTGGCAGGGGAGCTGAGCAGCTCCAGTCTACCCTGGGCCAGTGAGGATCACTTGCTGTTGAACCGAGTTAAGATTTTTGATTCACCCTGGCCCAAAAGCCACATTGGTGTACTTGTCGGGGTTCTCCAGAGAAAGACTCAGCAGGGGCAACATTTCAACTTTTGACCTTTCAGAGATGATTTTTGGTTTTGGTTTTGGCTAGGCCTGAGAATTACATTGAGAAACATCAACAGAGAGAAAAATAAAATAAAAGCTAATACAATCTCAACATAACAGGAATCTTCATAAGAAAATGGAGACCTAACAATGTAGTTAATGTCAAACATCTCTAACTGCCACACAGCAAAACATTGTGAAGAGGGCCAAAGCCAAGGGGCTGAGGCTAGGGTAAATTACTATTAATGTGGTATTACAGAAAACAGACTACAGTGGATAGCTAAGTGGCGATCAACTTCTTACACCCAGCTGAACTGAGCTAGAGTGGTGCTGGGTGTGGGAGGCCCACCTGAGGATTGTTGCCAGCAACGTAAAAGCGGAACAGGAGAAGCTGCCAGAATGCTGTTAGGGATGCTGGTGGAGCTGTCGGAAGCTGCTAGTTCTCCTGGGCTGTTCTGCTGGAGGACCTTGTCATGCTGGCTTTCCCGATGAACTTTGGCAGAGCTCTGGTCCTCACCTTGAGCACTGTTTCCTGGCCCTGGAGGGGATGACACTGCTCAGCCTCCTGGGGAAGCTTGTCACATTGGCTTTCCTGGTGGGAGCTCAGTTTTCCTCATCACTGGAGGAGCTCTGGACCTCACTGTTGCTGAGGGTGGCTGTGGTACTTTTTGGAGAGCTCTGGTGCTTACTTTGAGCATTGTTTTCTGGCTCCAGCGCAGCCTGCTGGCACAGATCCTTCATCGCACCGGCACAGACTGTCTAGCTCTCACCATTGACCAGCTGTGGTGGTTGGTGCACTGTGTCAACTTGAGATATTTGTACAAATACCCAAAACTGGGTAATTTGTCCCAGCAACAAGAGAAAAGTAACTGAGGCACCAGTGCCCATCCGGGAAGCAGACCTGCACTAGACATTGTCATGTGCTCTAGGCCTCCAGTTGGACTTGTGGGAGGCATTGTTAAGGGCTCTAGGTTTTCAGCTGGACTCACGCAGGATATTAGGATCCAGGCCCTCAGCTGGATTTTTCAGTGTATAGTGTGTGGACAGTTGGCCTGCACTTCTTGTATATGATTCTTGGGTGATTCCTTAAATATTATAAAATGTGTCCTGTATTGTTCACTTTGTAAAAACTCCGAACCATGACACAGATTAAACATGGGAATAAATGGTACCGAGAAGGTTTAGGAGGGAGTATACTATACCAGTGAGCATGACTGGTTCTCTCAGAGTCACAAGACTTTCCCAATCACCCTCCTGTGGGTCCTGGGACTTTTATAGGAGGGTAAAGAGGGAGGTACAAGGGCAGATTTGGTGCATTGTGATTGGAGGACTGGATGACATCATGGCTTGCTAAGGAATTTAAACACCTCAAGTTGGGTAACACAAAGCAATGTCCCGTTATCAGGCCTTTCCAGTCATGCCCATCTGGTTTTTGCAGGCGTTCTAGCAGGCTTTCTTTAAAATTTTAATTTTCCTTTCATTGGCAGAAAAGTGACTAGAAAGATGAGGGTTAGTTTAGTAAGCTCAGTTGGCACAGATTTTCCTTCTATCTTCAGTTTTCTGTTGCTATACCAGAACACCTGAAACTGGCTAATTTATAAAGGGAAGAGATTTGTTTTGACTCATGGTTCTGGAAGTGCAGAAGCATGGCACTGCAGTCTGCTTTGCTAGGATCTTATGGAAGGAAGCGTGTGTGCCCAAGAGAAAGGCAACCCATGATGACCACCCCACCCTCCATCCTCACAAAATAAGCATTGACCCATTCATGAGGGTTTTGCACCAGTGACCCTTCAAGACCCCAATATATGTTGACAATTAAATTTGAATGTGCATTTTAGTGAAGAAAAATCATGTTCAAGCCATAACAGCTTCTTCCACAAGGAAATTTCATCCTTTGCTTTTAAGAAGAAAGAAGGACAGAATGACCTTCTATTTGCTATTTTTCCAGTGTCTTTACCTCAAAAGGCTCAATATGCCAAACTGGTATGTTTTGGGGTTGCACATAGCTGAGCAACTGCAAAGAGAACATATATTCAAATGGGAATGAAAGAACAGATGAGAAAAAAATCCTCAGCATTATTTTCATAAGGGGAAGTCCTTCAAAGTTATCCATAGGGGGCTGGTGAGATGGCTCAATGGTCTAAAGCACCTACTTAGAACAAGCTAAGCCAAGCAAAGCACAGGGACCGCGGTTCAATCCCCCAGCACCACATGCCAGCCAGCCCCGCCCCCTGGTGGGCTGAGCTGGCCACACACACACAAAATAAATAAATAAATAAATAAATAAATAAAATTATATTTAAAAAAAACCCAACAAAGTTATCTATAGGGATGGTCTCCCAGGTGACTGGAGAGCTCATCTGGGTGGAGTTTGGCGTGTCTTGTGTGGGTCGGGGGAGGGAGGTTGTTCTTTTGATTCTGATGGCATGGATGTGCTCAGCAGCCCTTTCATCTGGTCCCTCCAACTCAATTTTGTGTGTGTGTGTGTGTGTGTTACAGTTTATATGTCTATGTCCCTACAAAGCCTCATGCTCTCATAGGTGGGATTTTGGATCATAGGGTTGTGATACCCATCAGTGGATCAGTTCACTGATGATATTGGGAAGTGAAGCCTGGTGGGAAGTGGTGGGTCACTAGGGTGTGGCCTAGAGGATAAATCTCCCTTCTCTTCTCTTGCTCCCTCTCTGCTTCCTGCCTACCTTGCGTGGATTCTCTCCCCTCTGCCATGCCACCCTGGTTTGAGCCAGCCAATCGTGGACTGAAACCTCTACAAAGTGTGAGCCCAGATAATCTTCTACTTCTGAAAGGGTGAGGGGTATTTTGTCCCAGCAAAGAGAAAATTACTAAGACAGTGTGGTTTCTTTCAAATCTTTGATGGACCCATCTCCAGATTGAAAGCAGGTGGTAAGGCAAATGAGCAGATGCCATACCTTTTTTTACCTGATAGTAGTATGTTTCAAGAATACTAGTTAGAAGGAAGTGCACCAAGAAGGAAGAGCAACAGTGAAAGAGCCCGTCTGAGAGTCACCAACCAGACACTGGAATATAGCAATGTGAGGAAGATAAAGAGGGAAGTGGGTCCCCTAGACCTGGAAAGATCTGAGGCACGGATTAAAGCCCAATGAGAGAGTGAAGAAATAAACTTCAATGAGAAGAAGGTAGCTGGTGATGCCTTTTCCCTGAGATGAACACACTACATGTGAGGAGTGGTTCAAATCTGAGGACACACAGTAACTGCTGGAGACTCTAGAAGCCTCCATCAAGTGATGTAGGAGGGAGCAGTGTGTGTGAGGGACTGCATTAGCTGGTGGTGAGTCATCCCCTACAGGAAAGAGCAGTTGGCTGGGAGCCATCTTGGAGCAGGGCCGCTGAGCTCAGAACTCAGAGTGACATCTGGCTCCCTCTAGTGGCTCCCAGCTTGACTGAGGCCCAAAGAAGGTGCACTGATGGCTGTAAGCTGCATAAGCCTGGTCTTGGCCTGAAGGTCTGGATTGCTGGGATAGATCAACACAGATCTAGACCCTCTCTCCACATGTTATCTAACAGTGACAGCAGACAAACTCAGAAGTGAACTTTTTTCCCTCTGTCTCTCTCTCTTGTTTGTTTGGTGGTGGTGGTATTATGGCTTTATTTTTGTTTTTGTTTTTCTTCTTCTTCTTCTTCTTGTTTTTTTTTTCTTTTTGAGACAGGGTCTCCTATGCAGTTTAGGCCAGCCTTGAACTCACTTTGAAGCCTGGTCTGGTCTTGCACTCAAAATGATCTTTCTGCCTCTTATTGTTATATAAATGTGAATGTAGTTTTTAGCCTTTTTGTGGTTGTGATTCTTTTTTTTTTTTTAAATTTTGCTTTTTTAAAAAAATATTTATTTATTTATT